GTTAGCTTAATTTGATTTCTCCAAGTGAAAAACCACGAACTCTACTTCTGGCTATGAAAACATTGATCTAGATTTGCAATACAGGAAAAATGTTTCCCTTTTGATATGGAAATAAATAGCAAGTCCTCTTTTCTGATCATTTAGAAAGATTTGCACTTTAATTTCAGTGGTCTGGGACTTTTCCTTGTAAAAGCTCATTACATTTATTTAGTATAAAAATAATACTATAAAATTGGAAAATACGATAGTGCTCTGAGTAAATTGCAGTGAAAATATTTTTGGATATTTACAAGGGAATGTATTTTAACACATCTGTATGCATATGCATGTATGTAGTTAAAATGTGTGTTTGTGTATCTACATAAAAAGCCTGGAATTAAACACATTGAATTGTTGCAATCATCACAGAGTTGGTGGGTAGGTAGAGAGTTTCAAGTTTTTATTTTATGAACTTCTATGTTATTTGATTTTTTCCAATGCACTTTTATATGTAAGAATCTTGGCCTTAGACCATCTAGCAGTGGACCTACTAACACAAGGACCCATCTTGTGATAATTTTCCTAGAATGCATGGTAGGAGTTTATAAACTTTATAGCTGAATAAAATATAGACTGAGGTAGCAAAGGCCAAGTAAGAACAGCCACCGAGACGGCAAATGAAAAGAAATACCAGATCGTTGTGGGAAATTACGGTAAGTGCATCACCAGAGACTTAAAAAATGAAGGTAGAAATTCCTACCTCATCTCTATTTTACTTTCCTGCTTGGGCAAAGCAAAACCTAGATAACTTGTAGAGTTTGACTGTAAATTATTACACATTTAGTCAGGTGGTGTTAACAGTCACAACTTTAGTTCCAGATGGGGTAGGTATATTTACTGAAGCAATGAAAAAATTTCTTGGCATCAGGTTTGCAGCTGTTGAACTGGCATGCTTTCTTTTCCATCCCTGTAATTTAGGAAATAAGATGAAGTCTACATTTACACAGCAGGGGCAACAATTTGTATCTCAGCTGTGCTGCCTGACACATAGACAGTCCTGCACAGAGTCTAGGCTGAACTCCAGTCCAAGTAGACTATAATTTCCCCAGTCATGCTGGAGCCACTGTTAGTTTCAGGCCAACACTCTTCTTAGCATTTGACTTTCATAATTTCCTAATTTGACTGATGGACTTCGGTGGCATTGACAGTAGATACTGGTGACTTAGTATAAGTTTAGAGCCAGTATCTAAAAGCTCTGTGGAGATTTGTTTTTTCCTTTCTCATACTTTTGGAAACTTCTGAAGGGAATTTCACTATAAACACCTGGACCACATGGCAGTAACTTTTCTCAGTGGAACTTAACCTGGCTTTCCTTTCAAGTGAGAGTTTTTGAACTGAAAACTCCTTTAGGTCTAAGAGCTGAGTAAGAGCTAGCTGTAGAGACTTTCAGACTTCTGTACTGTACTGGTTAAGTTTACACCTAGAAGATTTACAATTTCTCACCCAGGTAAGTTAAAGAACACTTTTAACAGGCTTCGGGTCTATCTTATCTTTGAGGGCTTGTAGTAATTTAGTTATTGCTACAGACACTTGCAAGTTAAAATACTGTTATTATTCTGTCTCTGTGGTTTGTTGTAATCGTGTCTTCCATGTGGCAAAGCAATTTTAGCTTCAATTTCTGTCCCAGAATCTTATTATTCCCATTAGGATTTTATCTTAGACACTTTCCTTATTGCTGAGATATAATATCCAGTGGTCACAGTTTAAGGAAGGAAAAGTCTTGTTTTGGCTCTGCTTTCAGTCCATTGTTGGCTGGCTCCAAGCTGGGAAGGATAGACAAAGACATGGTGGAGGAAAAGCACCTTTATGGCATGGTGGCTAGGAAGTAGAGAGTCAAACACTATAATTTTCACTCATATTTATGTCTCCCCACACGCTCACACCTATATTTCAGCTTCTGTTTCTTCTCTAATAGCAACATTACCTAGATGCACAGATTGTATATTTAACAGGTACTGAAACTATTCTTTTATTCTGAAAGAAGTAGCTAAGTGGTTGCACACTGTAATCATTATTGTTCTCCTATTAAGTGGTAGCTACTTGATTTCCCAGTGGATTGCCTTTTATCTAAACATCATTCTTTGCTAGTACTGATCATAACTTGAGAAGTTTGGATATTACCATGTGCCATGAACTGTACTTGTGTGTAATTTTACACTGGTGAGGAGGTTATCCTGGAATCCTAATGAGTGTGTTTCCTGAGTCCTTTCTAGTGCCAATTACCATGTCAGTCTGGTCCCCATAGTAAATGGCTCTCTTCACTTAGGATATTCTGGGATAATATGATACACAAGCAATTTACAAGGTTGAGGATCCAGGGAAACCACAAGTGATAATGCTTGTTATGGACTAACAACTGTTGGTCAACTTATAACCTCCAGCTGAACTGAATAAGTGTGGTACTGGGCGTGGGAGGCCAACCTGAGGGTTGTTGGTGGCAGCATAAGAGGCAGAACTGGAGAAGAAGAAGAGAAGCTGTTGGGAGTTGTTCGAGATGTTGGTGTTCTTGGGGCTGCTGTTGGTTCTTTTGAAGGACCTTGTCATGCTAGCTTTCCTGATAAACTTAGCTGTTGGAGTGCTGGACCTGGTTGTTGCTAAGAATGGCTACAGTTCACTTTGGGAGAGCTCTGGTCCTCACTTTGAGCATCACTTCTTGGCTACAAAGGGAAAGATGGTGCACTTCTAAGTCTCTTGGAGAAGCTTCTCATGCTGGCTTTCCTGATAGGAGACTGGCTGTTTTCATCATCAGAGGAGCTCAGGACTTCACTATCGCAAGGATGGCTAGGGTACCTTTTGGAGGAATTCTGGTTCTTACTTTCAGCATTGCTTCCTGGCTCCAGTGCAGATCCCTCAGCCTGCTAGCACAGATCTTCTGCCTTCTGAAAGAGACTTTCTAGCTTCCACCACTGACCTTTGGGCCTTCCCAGCACAGATCCATCAAACAAGCCTGCATGAGGTATTGTCGTGGGCTCTTGGCCTCTGGTTGGACTCATGGGATGCACTGTTATGAGCTCTAGGTCTTCAGCTGGTGTCATGCAGGACATTATGTGAGATCCAAGCCCTCAGCTGGATTCTTTGGTCTTTGGTGTTTGGACAGGTTTCCTGCACTCTTTTTGTATATAACTTAGGGTGATTATTATAAAATAATTCTATAAACTATGTGTCCTGTATTAAACTGTTCCTCCTTGTGAAACCCCAAACTACAACAATGTTGTATCCTGTGGTTAGAAATAGCCACTTTCTACCCTTCAATTTGAGAGCACAAAAGGAAGAGCTGCATATAAAAGGTTTCCTTGAAGGAAGTAATGATCTTTGGTCAAGGGTCATAGCCAGTTTGACCTGATCCTTCATGCAGGAAGCAGAAGAACAGACAGCTTGACTTGATTTTACTGTCTTTTATTGGAATTCTTAATTTCATGCATTGAATGGGAAAACAAGACCAGGGAATTTAGGGATATAGTCTGTACAGATTAGTTTTTCAAGGCATAGATCAAGGTGGAGAAGGAGGGAGATAAATGTAGAAGTACAAACAAAGCACTACATGCAAAGGTTCTTTCCAAGATGACATTTGGGTAGAAATATTAATTTAGGGGCAAGCCAGTCAGAAGAGCTGGAAAGCACAACAGTCATGAGGCTTGTTCTGGATGATGTGCCTGAAGAATAGAGAATGAAGGAGAGAGTAGTGGTATCAGATCTAGGTGGGGTCCTCATCCTGTGGAATGCTATATGACTGGTGAAAAGCTTGATTTATGTTGTAAGCACTAAGGGAAGCTTTTGGGGAGAGTGACACAGTGAATTTTCATTTCTAAAATACTTATTGAGCCCCATATGGAGGACAGACTGTGCCAGGGGCAAGGGAAGAAGCAGGGAATTGAGAAGTTATTGTACTCCAGGCAGAGTAGATGAGGGTGGCTTGCACTAAAGTGTGAAGAGGAGTGGGGACTGTAAGAAAATGTCAATACTGAAAGGGCAGAAAACTGACTTTTCTTACCTTACTCTAGTGTTTAGCTGTAAGTTTTTCTCATAGTGTATACTCAATAAATACTTACAACAAAACTTTGAAAATGTTTTGTTCTTCCAATACAATGTGTTTATCCTGTCTTTCATGGCTAGTACAGTACCAGGCATACCATGTATGTTAATAAAATGAAAGCTATTTGCCAATGAAGAATTTTAGAATAATCATAACTGGAAGAATTTGAAATCGTACACAGTGTTATCTAATTGGAGAGTTTACTAGAAAGGTTAAAGTCTGTGGTGTTTACTTGGAAGTCTGCTTTGTATCAGCTCTTTCTTTATTCCTACCTTTTTGTTGGGGGGGATTTTTTGAGACAAAGTCTTGTCAGGCCGTTCAGGCTGACACTGAGCACACTATGGAGCCCAGGCTGGTCTCAAACTCATGGCAATCCTCCTGCCTCTATCTCCTGAGTGCTGGGATTACAGGCGTGTGCCACCACACCTGGCTATTCCTACTTCTTCAAATTCATGCCCTGCATATCCTCTGGGGGAGGCATTTCCTTCCTCACATCATATTTATCTTCTTTTTCTGCATTTTTTAAAAAGAAAAATACAAATAAATAACAACAAAGACAAAAACAATAAAAACGATTCAGGATTTCAGAATGAGATGATAAAAATTAACAGTGGTACTATCTTTTTTATTCTCCATCGTAATTCTGCTGGCAGAGGTTGAGGATAGAGTGTATGAATTAAACCTCAGTATTTCAGTACTTTGGGAAGTTACTTTTTAGACTGTCAATCTTGCTATTACAAACTTGACTGAGATTCTTCATACTATGTTACAATTTTAATGCAAAGGTACACTTGGGTTGTATAAAATCAGCATGTAATTTTATTTTGATAACAGAAAACTAGTAATTTTGTATGCAACTGCATTGATTTCTTAACCAGAAGCATAACTACAAGATCTGTAACTAAAAGATCATTCCTTTTAAAACCAGATCAGTATCTCATGGAATACTTCCTGGACAGAAGAAATATTTCCTCAGAGTTCCATTATATGAACGTCTAACACGTAGCCCCAGTTTACCTAATATTTTAAATTTCGATAAATTGGTCAAAAGGAAAGGAGGAATGCTAGAAAATAGTGACCCTTACATGTGGGTCCGTGATACACTCTTTAAAGATAAACTTCAGAAAACCACCACAAATGTTGTTGAAGTAACTGTAAAAAGAGACCTTCCTGAAAGCACAGAGGAACCACCAAAAGTACAGTTAAGTGATTCTTTGGCGTGTGATCTCCCACCAGAGGTCATAAAACATTATGAGTCTGAAGTGGAAATCTTGACTGAAGAAATCAATGAGAAGAAAACATTTCCTGCATTTGCATATTGTAGACGTGGAGCAATTTATAGGAAACTGGGCAAGTTGCAGAGTGCCATGAACGATCTACAGGAAGTAAGTTTTATAAAAAAGGCCAATATTTACCATTTACATTGCTTTTAATTATGTAATATTTTAAAGTGGAATTTTGAATAATGAATTAATTATTAGACTATTGTATATCAGATTGTGAAAATACAATTATTGGCATTTTAAAGTAATTAATCATAAAACACTAGATTTTTGCTTATAGATTGGGAGGTTTTATATTATACACATGCAAAACCACTGGGATCAATAGTGTTTGGAAAATTTATTTAATAAGACTTTTTGCTTTGGCAAATCAACTTTAATTGGATTTAAATATTTTTTTTTCTAGGCTATTCTCTTGGAGCCATTGTTTCTCAATGCCTATTGGCACCGGCATTTCATTTATATATTTCAAGACAAAATGAATGAGGCTTTGGATGACTTGAATTATATAAGTAAATATAATAAAAATAATGCAGGTGGGTTGTCTCTGGAGACAGTTATATTACCTATATTTTATCTCAATTTTTGTTATCTTTTGTTATTATAAAGATTTATAAATCACTAGCTATGTAAAATGGTTGTGACTTTTCATCAGTTAAAGTGTTCATTCTTAGTGTTGTAAATTTAGGCTTCAAACAACCCTATATTGCTTTCAAAGTACTCATCATGGTTTAAAATGTGGATTACATGACAGTAAATTGATTCCTTACTGCTCATCTCACAAGACTATGAACTTAAAATTCTAGTTTTACAAGTGATTTACAAATCTTTTTTGACCACAGATCTTGGAATGAGAGTTGTGTTATTTCTGGGACTTCTTGGTTGGATTAAGTTCATAACCTTACCATGTGGAAAAATCCTCTGAGCAAGTCAAACCACTAGACATGGAACTCCTAAAAACGTAAAAATATCATACTCGTTTTTGTAGCCTCACTCCCTCCACAGACCTGCAGATATATGAGCTTAAATATTTTTGACCAATGCTGATCTGTCTACTGAAATTCCATGAGATTTTGCACCATCAAAGTCTTTCTACTCTTATCATTAAAAATAATTTTAGACATACAGGAAGGTGAAAGGTAATTTTTGTCACTTCAAATGAAGAGTACTTTTAGCTACAAAAGAGTGTATCTATTTGACAACAAATTTGGCATTATTGAAATTTTTAAAAAGTTAAATGATAATTGGTTGAACTACATTTTTGGAAGGAAAGGCTTTAATTTTTTAAAGAAATCATAGTTAAAAAGATTATAACACTAAATTTTATCTTTCATTTTTAAAATTAGATGTGTATTTGTCTAAGGCTGAAATTTACAGAAGAAGCAACAACATTACTTTGACAATTCTAAACTATAGCCAGGCAATTAAGTACAGGCCCACAGATGCTGATATCTATTTCAGGAGGGGTGAAGTTTATGAAAAAGAGAACAGAATGCTGGCCGTTGATGACTTTTCTAAAGTAAGCTTTTCCCTATATAATGTTGCTATTTTAGAACACAAAATTCTTATGCTTATAGTACATAGCAAGTTCTTGAGAAAGTCTCTTCATGTAATTTATACGATCAAAATTAATTTGTTGGAGGATAAAACACAAAGCTTTTATTATTGATATTGATCGTAGCACTTCAATGATTTTTTAAAAATTTTCATGAATAAATCGATTCACATGAAAGAGTTGGATGTGGGACCCTGAGACAACTCCGGAGGGGCCTGACTTTTCCAGAACTGTGCAACTAGGGTGGGGGTAGGTTGTATTTCTCACAGAATTTCATGTGAATTAAAAAGGAAACATATTAGATTACATCAATGGGGATTCAGTCAGTCAAATCAAATGTAGATTAGTCCCTAAGATGAAGGAAATTGTGGCATTGTTCATTCATTACACCTTGGTATCCAGAGTAATAAGGGTTACAAAAAAGTTTAGAAATTGCTCTTCCCTTTCAAACAATAGAGAAAGTTGTTTACTACTTTTTAACTCTTCCTTTTTTTATTAGTATATGTTTATGTAAACATACATTCATCTTGGGAAGTTGAGATATATATCTATATATAAAGATAGAGTCTTTATCATTTTTGATCCTCTTCTCTCTACCCTTTCCTCTTCTCCCTTCTCTGAATTCCTTTTTGCCATTTCTAAAGAGAAAAGAAAAGTCTGCCTGCCTGTATCTTACCGTCTCTTCCTTATTTTGCTCTTTCATATATATATATATATATATATATATATATATATATATATACACATTTTTTTTTCTGGTACCAGGAATTGAACTCATGACCTTGCATTTGCCAGGCAGATGCTGTGCCATTAAGCAAAATCCCCAGCCCCTGCTCTTTCAGTTATTTCTATTTTGGGTCTCTCATGTAAGAGAAACCATGTGATATTTAACTTTCTGTGTCTGACTCAATTCATTTAAAAATTATGGTCTCTTAAGTCATCCAGTTTTTAGCAAATGACTCAAATTTATCCTCTCTGGCTGACATATTTATTCACATTTCCTTTAACCATTCAACCTGTCGATTGGCATCTAATCTCTTTCCATAATTTAGCTATTGTGAATTGCACTGCTATAAACATGTGTATGTATGTATCACTGTATCACTGTGGTATGTTGAGCTCTTTGGTGATATTGACCTTGCTGTTTCTGTTTAGAAATGCTTCAAAAATTTTCTACCATTCACATTTGTTGGTCATGAATTTCCTTGATTCTCTTTGTCATGGAAGGTTTTTATTTCTCTATTGATTTTAAAGAATAATTTTGTAAGAAAGTGAGGTTTATTTATTTATTTATTTATTTGGTGCCAGGAATTGAACTCAGGACCTTGCACGTGCCAGGCAGGCACTTGTGCCACTGAGCTGTATCCCTGGCCCAATTTTGTAAGGTATAGTAATCTAGGTTGACAGTTATTTTCTTTCAGGATTTGAAAAACTTCACTTTAAGCTCTTCTTTGCTCTGAGAAATCTGCTCTTGTTCTTATAGGCTTACTTTTATTGGTTACTTGATGCTAATTTTTCTGATGGCTTTTAATATTCCTTCTTGTACTGAATTTCTGGGATTTTGACTGTGATGTGCCCTGGAGCATTTCTATTCTCATTGGGTCTATTTAGTATTCTGAATGCCTTCTTTACCTGGATATCCAGTTCAGTCTTTAGATCTGGAATATTTTCTGCAATGATTTTGGTGAATACATTTTTATACACTTAGTTTCCTTCTCTGTCCCTTCTTTGACATATAAAAATTCATAGGTTTGTTCCTTTAGAGTCATCTGTGAACTCTTTATGGATATTGCATCTTGTTTATAAGCTAGTATATAAATGATACCCTGTTCAAATTCTATGTTAGGAGACTAGGACTTCTAGTCAATAACTTTTGAGGAGAGACAACCTGACAAGTCAATGTAGAAATGATAGTTAGCACTCTTATACAGTTGCTCACAAACATATGACCCTTACATACATTCTGAAATAGAAAAAAAGTAGTTTTTTATAATAGCTTCTCTATACAAGCAAAAAAGGGAGGATGGAAAGACTTGTGATTGTGTGAGAAGGGATGTGAGGAAAGAGAGTGGGGGACCAATTTTAGTAGGTAGTAAAATGGGGATTGAGTCCAATTAATGACCTAACACCAACACTACTTTTTAAAAACCTATGAGGGGAGATTCAACATGGCTGAATAAAGGAAAAATCACACTGGAGCTTCTCAGAGAAAATCAACTTACAACACAGGTAATGGGAAGAAAGGGAGGGACATAAATCCTGATACTAAAGTTAATCTGAAGTAAGAGACTTGTAGATCAAACAAAACATAGGCATAGACTTATAAAATGATAATCCAGGCCACAGGGCAGCCAGTGGGTTTACCACCTGTGGGATCAGAGCAGGAACCACCATTCCCAGGAAGGTCCCCCCAAAATGGAGAGACTGCAAATGTGTTGCAAACTCAATCCACACATGATAGATGTAGATATAATGCCCCTCTCCTCTTTTGATTTCCTGCAAACAGAAGACACTGCAGCCTGGCAACAAATTTCACTGGCACATGCAGGAATAAGTGACTGCTCCCTACTCAGCCAGCTGCTAGTTTTTTGTTTTGTTTTGTTTTATTTAGTTTTTTTTTTTTTTCTTCTTTTTCGTTTTCTTTTTCTGTTGAGCACCATAACTGCTAACTGGAACCCCTAGTGATGAAAAGGTTAAGGACTGGACATGGGATTAAAGATTGCTAGTGAAACAACACAACCCCTCCTGCCCTAGGACTAGCACAAGAGAGGGCCTTGGACCACTGATGCTGTTGCAATCTGAGGCAGCCAGATCAAGGAGTGGGAAATGATCACTTATCTGTGACCAGCATCCTTGGGCTGGGAAGTCAGCACCCCAACCTGTGAACAGCCTCACAAGCAGCACAGAGCTGTGGGGACGGGAAGTGGGAAACAAGTGCTCCCACACCTTGTGACCAGCAGTTCAAACAAACTTGGGCTGAGAAGTCAGCATTTCTTCCAGCCTGTGACAACCAGCACAGGACAAGGGCGGCAGATGGAGAGGAACCAGCTGTGTGGAACAGAGCAGGCTGTGCAAGGTCTGGGATTCTCCAACTGTATACAGAATTGGGAGGAACCTTGGGCTGTCTCTGTCTGAGGGCAACACAGCAACTAGGAGAGCAGCACAGAGACAAACAGGGTAAGGAGATGTGGGTGGGCCATCCAGAAAGCTACTGGTTAAAGGTGGGCCACAGCCACCACATTCAGAGGCCAAGATCAGTCCCACATCCAGCAATAATCCTACTGCAGGATTGGTGGGCCTCTGATTTGAACACTTTTTTATTTTATTTTATTTTGTTTTATTTGTTTATGTGTACTTTCCTTTTTCTGTCTCATTGGGGTTTTTTTGTTTGTTTGTTTGTTTATACATATAGTTTTGTTCTATTCATCTTCTTTCTCTCTTTCCTCAACTATCTCTCTTGATCTTAGGATATCTTTATGTAAGTGAACATTGACTCTAGTCTTTCTGGCTTGCTTTGATAATCTTTTGCTTTCTCCTTCATTCTTTCTCTCTTTCTCTTGTCTCATTTCCTAAAGCTTGCATAATCATTATTTCTCCTCCAACTTTACTTTGACTAGATTTCTCTTCGTTCATCTTTTTTGTCCCCTATACCTTTTTTTTGTTTTGTTTTGTTTTGTTTTTTTGTTTTTTTTCCTGGTACCAGGAATCAAACTTATGACAACCTCATGCTTGACAAGCAGGTGCTGTGCCACTGAGCTAAATCCCCAGCCCCTCCCCTATACCTCTTAAATTTCCCTACCACAGGGAAGAGTCATTCTATTAGTGGGAAGCTCATTGCTTACAACTTCCTGACTTATGTTGGGTTTTGTTAAATAACTTTAGATCTTTCCACTATGGTTAGAAATTAAGAATTACTGCAGTTTGTCAGTTTCCAGTCTGTGCTTGATGCTATTGTTATTGCTAGTTGTACTACTTTAGCTGGGAAGGTGTACCTGTTATAATCAGTTGTTCTCCCTTGTATGACAATACTGTGACTGTCTGGGATCATAACCATCTCCTTAGTCCAGATCTAAAGGACTGAGTGCTAAGCCAAATATATAGCAAAATCTATCATTAATTAATTACGAAGGTAGAATCTTGGGGCAGACACATAAACCAAGAGCCTCCTACACATAGAAGACACATCTGAAGAACAGATATTTCCTAGAGTGGCCTTGATACTAGTGATAAAGATGCTTACTATAAGAAATTTACAGGCATCAACACAGAAAAAAAAAATAGAAAATGACAAGATGCAGAAGCAAAACCCAACCCAAGCCCCCAGTCCACTCAGAACAAGTCCAAGGAACAACAAGGTAGAGGAAAAGGAAGGCTGCCCATCTGAAATCTCTGCAATGATAGCAGCAGAAGTTTAAAAACAGGTGCATGAGACTATAGAGGAAATCATATCAGAAATAATCTCCCAGGTAAAATAACAGATGATCATGAAGAACTTACTCAAGTCTAGAATAGACATACATAGAAAATAGAGAAGTATAGGAAAATGGTGGAAACTATAAATGTCAACATAGGAAAGAAATGGAATCCATGAAACAGATTCAAACAGATATTAAAAATTAAAATTCCATTGAAAGTTTGCAAAACTACATGAATGAAAGTGGAGACAGAATTTCAGACCTAAAAGACAGGATTGCAGCTAGTGTCACAAGAAAGATCTCTTAAAAATTACAAATTACCATGAAAAAATGATCCAACAGCTGCAAGACGATGCAAAGAAGAATAATGTAAGTTTGATTGGAGTCAATGAAAAAGCAGGAGCCTGCACAAATGACATAAAAATACTATTTGCAGAAGTAATGGCAAAATATTTCCCCAATATTGAAAAAGAATTTGACATACAGTAAGTGCAGCATATAGAATTCCAATTATTCATGATCACAATAAATATACACCAAGGCATATAA